GTCTCTTAGGTCTTTTATTTGTAAGTGCTCAAGATTCACTTTTACATCACAGTATGGATGGTCCTCTTGTTGCAGTGAATATTTCTTTTTAAAAAAATTAAGTACCTTTAACACTGCTCAGAAGAAGTACCTACCTATGTCAGAGACACACACACAATCCACTTGGGGAAAGACACAGAAGAATAGACAAAGTAGTTTGGAAATCTACGAGGTTCAAAAGTCTGAAAGATTTTTTTAAAAACTCACTAAGCATCATATAAATGATTGGTTTACTTTTTAAAGAAAATTTCCCAGGCTTGAACTCTTACATTTATTCCTAATGCAGTTACTTCAAGAGCCTGCTTAGCAAAGACATCCATTTTTGCCACGCAAGCATCCAGCACTGCAATACTTGATTTACAGTATACGCCATCCATCAAACCATATTTTAGGGCAAAAATACCAAAAAAATGTGGTTTTTAACAACAAGGGATGAAAACATTTAACTGATGGCTGTAAGTTAAATGCAGCTAATGACTTGGTCCTAAACGATAGCCAGAAAATCGATTTGTGAAAAGTAATTAATTTTAATTGTAGTATATACAAACACTAGGAAAAAACACATAGCTGTCTGGAAATAGAATTGAAAAGGGCAGCGAGACAAGATTAATACAACTCATTTTGAGAAATGAAGCATCCTGATCCATTTGGAACAAATGAAAGCTGAGTATCAGTCAAAATTGCAGTAGTTCAGAAGAGGTTTCGTTACAAACCTTAGACCTTTGATGTGAGGGAAAGTAAAACTTTACAGGTCAGAAACAGTTCCTGAAAAAAAGGAACATACATACTTAACAAAAGATGGGAACTGCAAAGCAGATTGAAGATGTGCTATTACGCAGAAAAACATGACTTCTGGATGTAGTAAAGTGAAGGACGCTAAGGCACATACCACAAATACATTCTCTGATCTCTGATATAACACACACGCCAAGTAATTGAAGAAAACTGACTTCCAATGTCAGAGCAAGCCCAAAACACCAAGCACTTAAAATCCTATTTTCTGATCTACCAACCTAAACACATGATACCATACAAACATGCTGCAAGCAGGGAGTATACTCCATCTTTACTCTGTGAGGAAACACAGCAGTTCTGAACCCTGAGCCTAAAACACTTTCCCAGATCACAGAAAACAGGTTACTTCTAAGGGGGAGGGGCAGTGTGTGTGTGTGGGGGGGGTGCTGTAAAAGATGATTAAACTCCACCATCCTGAATATACCACATAGAAATCTGTACATAGCAATTTCAGCACTCCCACACTACTGCAGGAAATGTTGAGGGGTTCACAAATAAAAAGCCCCTCTCTCCCCCCTGCCCCGAGAAACCAACAACAGTGGTTTAACACATCCAGTCAAAAACGTATCTTTATGAAGGACTTTCACTCATTTTACTCCAGGAGATAACTCCTCAGGACCCAATCAAATTATTCTACAATACTGGGGGGGACTAGTATACACCAGTTTGATAATACAATATTTAGGAAAGTCTGTTAGCATAGGTGCAACATATCAAAACCGTGTTGCTACCAGTAAGGAAAAGCGAGCAAAATGAGCGACACCGGCCAAGTACTTACATCAATGTAACCATGCTGAAGAGCTGTACCAGCACCCACAGTCACATCCCAAACTAGGATACTGTTGCCACCAAAAGATGGTACCACTGTGCAGTTGTAATGGCCCTGGGAAAACTTAACGGCTGGACAAGATATATGGATAATTACCATTCTTCTTTGCAACAAATGTAACATTTAAATAGAAAAAAAAAAGTTGTTGAAAAACCTCTGGCAGTTTAATGAAATCCTGCACAGTCCTGCCCCTGAAATTATTCTAGAGCTACACAACATGAAAGCAAAAATGAGGCCATTCAAAAATTCTAATATACTACAGGACACTGCCTATACCAAGACTTTCTAAATTACTTCAAAATGTTTATTACAAGATTTGCTACAAATATTTCACTTTCCCTGTAAGTTTATGTTACTCTTACCTCCTAAAGAAGGAATTGGCATTAACAAAGCAACTCAAAACTACACTAATACAGGATGTTCTACAGCAAAGAAAATTCTGTGCAGGGAACACATGAACCATGTAAGGCTTCCAAGACAGAAGAAGGTGCAGTACTGTAATGACAGTGGGAAATACAGAAATATTTGGCTGCTGCCAATAAATCAAGCACATTAGGACAACCTTTGCTGATTTCTTTTCAGAAAAATGCCACCAAACATTTAAGTTGTACATTCTGGGCCCAGAATAAGAGTATCATCCAGGTCTACAGTGAAAGCATGAGTGAATTAGAGACTCCTCTTAGTCTTCAATATAAATACACTTAACATCTGCGAGTTTGGGAATAAATTAACAGGAGTCAGTCATCATTTTTAGGTATCTAACAAGCTAAAACAGCATTTCAGAGTAAGAAATGAGCCAAAAAGCTAACAGCAAAAAACACACTCAAAGGTCCACTAGGCACATGTGCTGGAAAAAGTTCCATTAACAGTGCAAGTTTCCTGCCTTTCTCCTTCCCTCTAATGATGCTGAGAATCTAACAGTTTTAAAAAGAGTGCTTGAGTAAGTACATAAGCACCATGTTATTTATTTTCTATAATTAACTGAGGAGTGGGGACAATAAAACAGATTCTATAAGTGGAATTTACTTAATGACAGCTGCTTGCACTATTTCAAAGCAAATTTAACCAATAGATAGGTTAAAAAAAAAGTCATCTTCAAAGCAGTTTCCCACAACAGCAGAAGTACGACAAAACAAACTGCAGCCTCTCAAGCAGCAAACGAAAAAATATAACCCTCAAACACATTCATTAGCTCATAGGTTGGATTTTATTTAGAGAAACAGATATGATGTCATATTAAAAAAAACCCAGAAAGTGGAACTGTCACATATTCAGCTAATTAGTTGGCAACAACAATGAAAAAAAGCCAGAATAGACAGACTACTTTAACAGTTTTTATGTAGCATACATAAAGTGTTTGCACCACTATAAACCTCTGCATAGCTATCAGGTGATGACAGTCTCAGTCACGTTGGGGAAAAAAATATCACATTTGTGCACTACTGAAACTGTCCAATCCCTAGTGCTTCACCAAAACTCTAAGAAGTTCATTTATTAAGCTGCCCAGGAAGTTAACAATTAAAAGACTAAGTATTCGGCGAAAGTCTGCACCTGTTAAACTGAAATACACACACAAATTATCCAGTCCTTATTTGATCACAAACATCTTAACTTAGATATGGATGTTCATCTGAATCACAAGAGGTCTTTAACTTTCATATATTTCAAGTATCAGAACTTCTCTCACGAAACATTCATATTTCACCTCTCTAAAAGAAGCAAAATAACCACTGTCAAGACAAATTAAAAATGGTTACTACTGACTTAATTACTGGTTTCCAAGTCTAGCATGAAGAAAACCAATAAGTAGCTCTAGTTAAAGAGTAGCTTCTCCAATGCTCTTCTACTCTCTTACTAGAGACCTGTTGATATTAGGAATAGTCATGTCCTCCAATTACAACATAATATTGCCTGTATCTAATAGGCACTACAAGTTACAAACTTTTCAAAACTAGTACGTCATTCACCAAGAATAGGAAAGGCAAAATCAAAGTTTTGGAGATGATTCCAAGTAGAATCACATCCACTGCTCAACCAGAAACCAGTTACTGCTGTTTACTGTCAAAAAAGGAGCTTTTTACAAAAAAACCCACAAACCCAACCAAACAAAAAAACCCCCAACTCTTCCTTTTTCTTGCCAGCTTTTAACTGCATAGAACAAGAGCTCTGGTGGCTTCAGAAATGCCACCACTCACCAGTCTGGCAGGAGGAGGCATCCTCCATATCCCATAGGCTAAGAAGATCTAATGTGAGTTCAAAGAAACTCCTGTGGGACAGGTAACAGAGTATTCTCACAGCAAAATGTCACCAAATACTCACTTGCTTCACAGGAAGCATTAAAAAGCTGAACAGCCCTTTGTTACTCCCCCCCCTCCCAGTACAACCAGTTTATATTTGCAAGGGATTGGGACACCTAAAATTTCCAACCTCTAGCTTGCCTTTGCAGCATCACCAAAGACCTGTGCAGGACTGCAGAGATGCCCCTTTATCTTCGCAGCTCTTAAGTCTACAGGGGAATTTCAGACATTTTGGTCTCGCAGCAAAGAAACGGGAGATGCAAGATGAACTACACTCCATATTGATTCTTAATGCAAATAAGGTGAAATAACATTTCATCTTTAAGGAGATAAGAATCTCAATAAATCTTATGCCACAAGTATGGCATCTGGATTTTGGTTTTAGCTGGTTTTTTATCTAAAGTGGATGGTCTATTTGAATCAGAAAAGCAGTATTTAGATACCCTTTTGCAAGGAAGAATAATGAATTGCAAAAAGTAAATCAAATAAGCAGACTGCACGTAAGAAGAAAAAAGAAAACTAGCACATAAATAAATCTCATTTCTAAACAAGACGTAAAAAAATCCCCTGTATACGCAAAATAAAATAAGAAACAAAACACATTTGCCTGTACACATGTAGTTCAGCAATAAAGTGCACAAAAGCATCGTCTTTAGCACCATTTCGTATTTCTGCAACTGGCATTAAATAAACTGGCATTATGCTTAGCAAGGAGCTCGGTAATAACTACTATTGTGAAAGACACGAAAATGACGAACTGGTAAGTCTTATCTGCAGCTGATCAAAAGCACAATAAATTGAAAGCTTTGCTTTCAATCACTTCCAAAAAACCAGAAGGGCAGAAACATCCGAACACCCTTCCTAAGCCATTAACGCCAATAGGTTCAAACGGAGTGAAAACAGGAGACAGACGGGAAGGAAGAAGGCAGGCTCGAGTGAACAGCAGCAAAAGGGAGGAGGAGATTTAGGGAGAAGAGGGGAGAAAAGGACAGTAATTGCGGCACCGAGAGCTGGGGAGGGCCCGGGCCCCCGAGACTGACCTGTGCCGTCGCTGGCGGACACGGAGAGCGCCGGTGAGGAGAGTTTAGGCCGCTTGGCTGAAGGCGGGCCCGGCTCCACCACATTCTCGGCCATTTTTAATTTTTTAGACAATCACCCAGAGCAGAGAGACTGTGGGGGGTGAACCCCGAAACCTTCACGTTCTTCTGGGGCCCCGAGTCAGCTGAAGAACAACAATAACGCCGAGAGCGATCAAGGAGGATCTGGCGGAGGAGGGGGGCCAAGTTCCCCTTTTTTCTGCTCCTCGGGCTCTGGGAGGGCGGCAGCGGAGAAGCAGGGAGAGGTGGGAGCCGGGGCGGGGGTTGAGGCCTCTTCCCCCAGGCGAAAGGGCTGAGCGAAGATGGGAAGAGCAGGTAAAGCCCCCGCAAAAAAAAAAAAAATTAAAAAAGAAGAAAAAAAAAAGACGGCTGATGGTTGTTTTTTTTTTGTTTTTTTTTTTTTTAGTAAAATTAATCCCGGCTGTTGTGCTGCTGGTGCTTCCTCGCCGCCGCCACCATCATCATCTTCATCCTTCGGGGGGTCTCCTCCTCCTGCTGCCTCCTCACCGCCGCCATCAGCCTCTTCCTCCTCGGAGCCGTCCTCCTCCTCCTCATCGCCACAAGGAGGCGAGCGAAGGAGGGGAGAGGAGGAGGAAAAAAGAAAAAAAGATCACCGTCCTCTAGCAGCGGCTCCTTCCCCCTCCAACACCACCCTGCGAAAAAATACCCACCGCCAGCGACAGGGCTGGGGGGGAGGCGGCGGGGGAAGTGGCACGGCGTGCTCGGGGTCCCCAGTTCCACTCGCTTCTTCCTTGCCCGTCGCTAATGGCTGCAGAAAGGGGAGCTGTAAGGATGAGGAGGGTGAGGATAAGTCCCAGGAGTCTCCGCTTCACATCTTGTTGTGCAGGGAAGGAGGAGGGGTTGTTGTGCTATGGAGGCAGCACCGATCGCGGGATGGGAAGGTGGGGGGCGGGTTTCAACACCCTCTCTGCCCCCCCTCTTCTTCTCTTCTTTCCCCTTCCTCTTTCTCTCGCTCGCAGTAGCAGGTTGCCCCCCCCTCCGGCGCAGGCAGAGAGGCCGATCCCACAGCAGCGGCAGGAGGAGGAGGAGGAGGAAGCCGGCCCCTCCCGCCCTCTCTGCCTACCTTCCCCCCTCTCGGGCGGCCGAGGATGGTGGCAGGGAGGGGGCTGCCCGTCTCTGCTCCCGCAGACCCACGGGCGATGCGGGGCGCGATGAGCGAGGGAGGAAACCCTCGGCCGCTGCTCGGGCGCGGCGGGGACTCCCCCTTCGCCTCTGCGAGGGTGGGGAAAGGAGCGAAGAGGTTGGTAGTCGGGGTGGGAGGGGAGGCCGATCAGCGACCCCTCCGAGAAGAGGAGCGGGGGGTAAAATTAAAATAATAAAACAGGAAAAAAAGCACGTCAGGGAAGGCCGGGGGACTCGCCCCGGAATGGCCAGGCAGGGGAGGGGGTCCCAGCGCTGCCCGGCGGGGGGGGCGCCGGGGCGGGACGGCGGCAGCGCGGGGGCCGAGCGCAGGCTCCCTACTGCCCCTGCCTGGCGCTCTGGGGGCGTGTGTGCGGAGCGGGCAAAGCGGGGGCGCGGGGCAGCGCGGCGAGAGAGAATTCCGGGAAAAGGAGAAGAGAGAAAAGGAAACAGAGAGAGAGGGGAATAGCGAGGGGACGGGCAGGCTGGGGTGGGGGGTGGGGGGCGTCTGGACTCCTCGCTTCTCTCCCCGTCCCCTATCCGAGCCCCTGGGTCTCTGTGCGCTGCCCTCCCCCTGGCTCGCCCCGTCCGGCTCGGCCTCTCGCTCCCTCCTCCTCCCTCCGTCGCTCACACACAAACAAAATGGCGGCTGTTGTTCCTTCGCTCTCCCGAGCCCTCGGAGGGAAGCGGCGGCGGCGGCGGCCGGAAATGAGCCAAGAGACCGCGGGGGCGGGGCCACCGCGGGGGCGGGGCCGGCGGCTGGAGGGGCGTGATCAGGTGGGGGGCGGGGCCCGGCGGCGCTCGCGCACACAATGGCAGGCGGGGGGCCGGCGGGGCGGGGGGTGGGACCGCCCCGGCCGTCGTCACGAGACCGCGCTCAGCCAATCAGCGCCCGCCTCTCGCCGGGCTCTTCCGCAAACTCCGCTGGCCCCGCCCCTTAAAGGCGAAGGGGGGTTTCCTTAAAAAAAAAAAAAAAAAAAGGCTCCCTCTTCCTGCCCCGCCCCGCACGCCCTTTTCTGTCGGCCCAAAAGTGCGCGGCGGCGGCTGGGGGAGTGCGGCCCCTGCGGCCTGGGGCGGCGGGGAGGTTCCCGGCAGTGCTCGTGCCCGGCTCGGTGGGCTGTGGCGCCGGGCGGGCGGAGTGGGGCTCTCCCGCCGCCCTCCCTTCTTCCCTCCCTCCCTCGCGGCTGTCGGCGCCTGGCCGGTTCCCCGCGGCGCCGGCGGGCGGGGCGCTCCTCCCGCCGGTCCCGGGCTGTGCTGCGCCACAGACATGGCAGCCCGGGCCGGCACCCCCCGGCCTGGGAGGAGCGCGGCTGGGGAGGGGCGCCCGCACCCCGAGGGCCCCCGAGATTCCGTGCGAGACGACGGAATCACAGAGTCGATTCCGGTCGGGTTGAAAAAGACCTCTGAGATCATCCAGTACAACCCGCCACCGAACACCACCATGTCATGCAGACACTTGAGTGCCACGTCCAGTCTTTCCTTAAACACCTCCAGGGACGGTGACTCCGCCACCTCCCTGAGCAGCCCATTCCAATGTCTAACTACCCTTTCTGTGAAGAAATTCCTCTTAATCTGGGGGCGCTCTGTACTGCCCGGCCCAGGAGTGCCCAGAGCTTCCGCAGGCTCAGATCGGCGTAACGAAAAATAAACAAAAAAACCCCAAACCCCACGCTTCATGCCAGAGGGTAATTAAACCCACCCGCGCTCTGACAGACCCCCGGGAGTGCCGTGGAGGGCGCAGGGCGCGGTACCAGGCACCGCAGCGCCCTGGCAGTGCTCCCACCCCTGCCAGGGGCCGTGGGCAGGGACAGGTGACACCGGCGCGGTCCCTCCTCAGCCCTCCCGGCCCCTGAGCCGCCCCAGGGGCTACGGACCCGCCAAGAGTTCTCCTCAAATCTCAGAGGACTCATCCGTGAGGAAATGCCCCATCCCGGCATTTCCCTTTCGTGCGTTCGGACTCCGTCGGGCCGCACACCATTACAGGATAGGAGTGGAAGGGAAATGCAGGCACGCGTGTGTTTTTAATGGAAAAAGCAGGAGGTTTTGATCCAAACCGGACATTTGCGGGGAGCACTTCCCTGTGCCGTTCGGCCTCAGGGCAGAACCCTCCGCAATCTGCGTAAGAACCGAAGCAGGTATTTGGGAAGAGCCTAGACTACATAGACAGAATAAATACTGCAGGCTACAAGAGGAGCCTACCAGGCACGAGTGGAGATTCACAGCCCTGTAACAGTTATCCTCCAGCTCCCTCACATACTCCCACTCTTCAGCTTCCCTTGTTTGGGCTTTATTTCAAGAAAGATTGTTGTTGCTTCCCCCCGCACAAGAGGGAAAACACAAGCCACTCCAAAAGTGCTTAAAGACTGCATTACTCTTCCAGAAAAGTCTTGGAGCCATAGGCAGTGCACAAATCCGTATCTTTTACACGAGAGGTGGAGGGACCCTTGCAAAGACAAATAAGCCACAGGAAAAGAATCTGTAGAGCAGAAAGCCTCAGAACTAAAGCTATCAGGGCTAAAAGTGCTAAATTTAACAGTGACACCTTGGAAACAATGTTGTGGTTCTCACAGGTTTTTTGCCTCTTATTGCTACTAAATTTCCCAAATATTCCAATTACAGAAGTCTTATGTTACCTCAAAAAAAAAATTTTTTCAGATTGACTGTTTCCCTTGTTTGTGAAGCACTTTTTTAACACATCTGAGACTAATTATAACTTTTTTTTTTAGTCTCTTTAGAATTAAAAGTTGACTGAAGTAAGTCTATATAAGGTTCTCAGACTCTCTGGAGGCCCTTAGTCCACAGTTCAATAAGGAATTAGTGCTGGCTTTATAAAGACACCCAGATGCATATAAACACCTAAATGCCTTTAGAAGTCAGGCCCTTACTAAACAAGAAGTTTGGAGCAAAGTGGATGTTTCAAATAAGAGTTTCATGACACTTGCTCCTATCTAAAGTCTCGATCGTACAAATACCTACATATGTGCTTAGTTTTATATAGCAAGTATTTTCACCAAAATCGAACTGACAAACAAAATGAAGTCCTCTTTTTCTTTTCTTTCTTTCTTTTTTTTTTTTTGGGTACAGCAGACCCTTCTGATCTGGCTACTTGTCTGTTTGTCTGTTTACTGTTCAAAAGAGTTCAGGGAGGCATACCTGAACTGTGGTACTTTTAAACTCTTAGGTAAATGCTACCAAACCAACATATATCTTCTTAATATTAATTATAGATAGAAGTTATTAACTGATATGTTAATAAAGCCATAGTTCTTCCTTGCAAGCTTCATAACCAGCAGGTTATTTTAGTTCTTTAGACATATTCAGTTAGCTTTCCATATTAGAGATTTACACGTAAGCTGAATTATACAGAAAATAAATAGAAAAGAATGTTACTTGTGTTTTTTTCTGCAAAAGAGGGCAGCAAAAACAAGAGAAGGAGGAAGAAAAAGGAAAAGCCAGGAAAATAGGGTTATGATAAATCAAATATATATATGTAAAATGATAAAAAAACCTTCAGCATCTGTTAAGTTTCCTGGAATCACTGCAGTTTTCCTAAGTGAACCTCAGTACATGCACACAACCAACTGTTGCTAAGTGCTATCTACCAATACAATGACATATAACATTACTGGAAAGCAATAATAGAATACAAAGCATACTAAGGAAAAAACACATAAACCTATACAAATAAAACCAGGACATTATTATACTATTAAAAGTAAAACAAACCTATTTACCAAAAACTGCTCCTCTTTGCCTCAATTTCCCCATTCTTACAGCAAGGATAATAATATTTATCCCTTGAAAATAATACCTAGAAGAATTGATTAGCTCATTATTGCCAGTAATTAAAGTAGCCATTATGTACTTTGAGATAACTGGATGAAAGTACCATAAGTCTGATTAAAATGAGAATCTGCTCAGGAAAGCAATAAGAAGAGGAATGCAGAGCCTTGAACTTTTATCATGGGATCTTGTTTGGCCTTAGCTGGTAGTTACTGAAATTTGTAACCATGCCAAGCTGCTTTGAGGGCTACAAAGAACAAGATAAGATCCCTTTGTACTGCAAAGGTCAACATGATGCCCAGAGCTCAGCAGCCCAGCTTCAGCAAGATGAGCAGGCACGGGAAAAATTGTCTCCCTCTGTCCAGAGGGAGCTGGGGCTGTGGCCTTGCCCTCCCAGCTGCTGGACGGAGAAGCAGTGTAAGATCTAAGTCAACCAACCAGCCTCCTCCCCTCCCTAATGCTGCTCGGGAAATCACTTATACTAAATAAAACTTCCCCGCTTCCCATCAGCAGGATTTGCCCTGCAGCCCTGCAGCCCTTCAGATGTCTCTGAAAGAGATGGACTCATGGAATGGGAAGCAGGAGCCAGGGATGGGGCACTCCCATCCTCTCAGTCCTGTTTCTGCCTGCAGTTTCCAGCTGTATCATCTTTTTTTTTCCTGAGCTTTCCAGGACTGCTGCTCATGTCTGGCAGGTAACTTCTCCTGTTCCCCAGCTGCCTCCTGCCACTACAGCTCCCTGCTCACACAACACCTGGGGCGCAAAGGAGGAATGATCCCCTTCTCCTTAACAGCGAGGAGATCTGCGTGTGGAGAGTCCTTCCTGGCACAGGTCAGAGGGATGAGGAAATGATTTAGGGGTGCAATTTTTGCAAGTAATGCCAGGGTGCAGCTATATTTCTGGAAAGCAAGAGCCAGCTGTGCCGGAGCAGAGAACATCGCTCAGCGCGGCGTCAACATTAAAACCCAGCAGCGTTTTGATATGAGACAAATTTTATTAAAACCATAAGAAGCAACCATCCAATAACTGGTTCTTTCTTGCATCTAGTGTATACATAAAAGAAAGGGCTGGCGTTCTGACAGCAAGCAAAATGCTTTCAGTCCTCAGCCCCAGAAACACAGGCTTCCTTGGTCACACAGTTTTCAATAGCTGCAAACACAGAGTTATGTTGCTAAATGTTAAGGGCTCAGCTGTTTACCAGAAGAATGTTTCCTCCCTGGAACACATGGTTTTGCTTAAAAGAAGTTCTCCCAAAAAACTCACTTTATTTCATTAGCAAATGCAACATTATAGTCCTAAGAAACATACCATGCAGTCCTCCCCTTACATGAGCAAAATAGAAAAAGAAGACAAAAATTGACCTCTCAGTATAAGAGAGGTGCAGAAGTACACTCTGCCTAGGAAATATTGCAGCTTTGAGGTCTGATGATCTAGAGCCGAATCTCATGCTCTGAAATGTGTATATTTTCATACATCATTTCCATAATCTAGTTCATGTTGGAAGCACAAATGTGGAATAGGAGTGAGAGGCTTGCGTGCTCTCCTGGCTTTACCGAAGGCTGGCCAAATTGCTGCCTCTCACTTCTCAGGCTCAGCTTTCCCCTCTGTAACAGGGAGGTGATCCTACTTCCTCCTTACAGAAACCATATCCGAATCATTAAATGAAAATGTAGGACTCTTGTAGCTTCTCATTGAAATTACACTGAAATTAATGCATTTACATCAGCAGTTGTTTTATCCCAGAGTATTACCAGGATACAAGCAAGAGCTTCTATAGTGAAAATGTAATATTTTTAATTAAGGGCCCTTGAACTTGCCATGTGCTTTGAGCTTGTGGAGAGTGAAATGATGGTAAATTTCTGAGCAACTCCGTCAGTTCAGCAAAATATTTACAATTATCTGCTAAAAATG